GGAGCGCCCGCCATTCCCTGCTCCTCCGCCCCGGTGGGATAGCCCGGGGGGATTTTGGGGCCCGGAACCAAGAACCAGCCCCATCCCAGCCGGCCCCATGGGCCCCATCCACCCACTCCTGCTCTTCCTTGCCGGGGTGCGAAGGCAAAACAGGAAATCTCGGTTCCCGGCAGTGCAGAGGAGGGAGAGTGGCCATGGCAGCATCCCAAATTCCAGCTGGAAGTGGGGAGCACTGGCAGGCACCAGGCTGTGGGCAGCTCCCTGAGGAACTTCCATGCCTTGGGCATCTCCATGCTCCGATCATCTCCCTGCCTCGGGCAATGCCCTGGATATCTTCCCTGCCACAGGCATACCCCTTCTTTTCCATGAGCCTCTTCCCTGCTACAGGCATGTCCCTGCCAGAGCGAGCATCTTTCCCCTGCCATGAGCATCTCCCAGCCACAGGCCTCTCCCTGTCGTTTTCCATGAGTGTTTCCCTGGAAATCAGCTCACTGCCAGCTCCATGGCACAGAGAGCCAAGCCATGAAGCTCGGAGCAGGCTCCTTGTGAGTCCTGCCATCTGCCCAGCTTGGAATCCCGTGGGATTTGGGGCTTTAATGGGCTGTGGCAGCTGGCAGAGCCGGCTTCCATGCTGCATTTCCCATGGGAAGAGTTCAAAGCCCTTCCATGCCTGGATTGGTTCAGTCCCTGTGGCATGAGGGGAGATGCCGGGAGCATCCCTATGCCAGGAGCTGGTGCTGGGAGAAGGAGGAGCATGTGCCAGCAGCATCCCTGTGGATATCATCCATGTCTGCCTGTGGGTCCGACTCCTCTCTCCCTGTGGTTCTGGCTCCTCTTCCCACACGTCTGACCCATCTCCATGGATCTGACTCCCTTCTCCTGGTAGCTCTGACCCCACTCCATCGATCTGACCCCTGTTTTTCCATGGGCCTGATTTCCCTGTACCCACGGATCTGCTCCCTGTTTTCCCATGGGTCTGATCCCGCTGTACCCATGGATCTGCTCCCTCTCCCTGTGGATTTCACCCTTCCCCACGGGTCTGGCCCCTCCCTGTGGATCCAACACCTCTCCCCGTGGATCCAGCCCCTCTCCCCGTGGATCCAACCCCTCTCCCTGTGGATGTGCTCTCTCTCCCAGATTCCCAGCCGCGGGCCCTGCGGAGGCTGGCAGCCGGCCCCACGCCGTGCGAAGGGGACATCCAGGTGTTCCATGAGGGACAGTGGTGGGATCTGTGTGAGTCCAGAGCAGCGCAGCGAGACAGGCACGGCCGGCAGATCTGCCGGGAGCTGGGCTGTGGGAATCTCACCTCCAGCACAGAAATCCGGGAGCCCCCCTCAACGGGAGTCACCTGTGGGCTTGAACCCCTGCACCTCTGCCAGCCCAAACCTGGGAATAGCCGGAGCTGCTCCCGGACCAGAGTTGTGTGTAAGCCACGTGATCCGTGCTGGGAGCTGGAATTCCCACTCCTATGGAATGGGCAGGGATGGGGGGACCAAATCCACGTGGGATTTGGGTTCCTGCTGGGGTAATGGGTGTTCACATCTCAGCACCAACCTCCAGCTGGACACATCCAGTGGACACCTGTGCTCTTTCCAGGCCAGGACTCAAAGCCGCTTCCCACGGGAACATCTGCTGGAACCGTCGTGAGCATCTGCCTGGCCCTGCTGCTTTTCCTCATCCTTTCCCTGATCTGTGGCCCTCCTGCCTATCGGAAGCTGATGAAGAGAAGTAGGGGACAACTTTGGGATCCTCATCCTTCCTTTCTTCCTTCTCCCGCTCCACCATCCCCACGTGCTGGCTCAGGGCTGGCAGCTCCATGGATGCTTCCCTAAACTCCTTGGGGCTGGATTTGGCTGCTCAGCCTGACGGATCCCCCTGTCCCATTATCCCCAGACCTGCCCCATTGTCCCCAAGCCTGTCCCACATGGAGTGTGGGAGTGGGAAGAGGGATTAAGCTCCAAGCAAACACAAAAGAGCAGGTGGAGGATCCTGGGGAGGGGGATTATTGGGAAGGGGGGGATTATTTGGGATGACATATGGGGCTGGCAGGGGGGAAGCAGCTGGAGGAAGGGTCGGGAAGATCCTTGGAGACACAATTCCCCCTCTCTCTCAGTTTCCAAGAAGAAGCAGCGCCAGTGGATCGGCCCCACGGGACTCAACCAGACGGGTGAGGAGCTGCTGGCTGGGGAGCTGGGAATGGAATTTGGAGTTCCTGGGGATGGATCTGGGGTCTGGGTGAGCTGTTCCCTCTGGATCCTGGCACAAGGGCCTTGGATCTTGCTTCCTTTTGGAATATAACTCATCCAGGAGATGCAGGCCTGGAGCAGGGACCAGTTTTACTCAGCCCCTTCCCGGGTGGGTTTGCTCCCTCCAAGCTGGTGTTCCAACCCCAAAATCCCAATCCTGCTGTCTTCTCCAGTGTCCTTCCACCGCTCCAGCACCGCTCCGAGGCCTCGGGGACAGGGAGGGGACAACGACTACGCTCAGCCCCCCAAAAGGACCTCCCAGCTCTCTGCTTACCCAGGTCAGTGCTGGAAGTGGCTCCTCCCCTTTCCTTTTCCATGGATGTGCATCCACTGAGTGGTATCCGTGCTCTCCACAGCTCTGGAAGCAGCGTGCCGGCGTTCCAACCCTCCGGACAACTCCTCGGACAGTGACTATGACCTGCACTCCGCCCGCAGGGTGTGATTCCCTGCTTCCCAAAGGAGCTGATCCCACCTCCCACCTCAGCTTTGGGGGCATCCCAGCATTCCAGCATCCTTCCAGGAGCTCTTCCCAGCCTCCTCATGGGAGAAAAGGAGGTTTTTGTTTGGTTTTTTTTTAAGCTATTTATAGGAATTTAAGAGGTTCCCACTATCCCTTTGGAATAGTGGGACCACCAGCTTCTCCAAACCAGGACAAAGAGCTGGGATGATGGATAAAGGATAGGGATGCAAGGGTGGGAATACTGAGAATGAGACTGAGATATTTAATAACAAATGCCTGTAATAAAACTGGGGTTTTGTACTAATTACACCTTGTCCTCTTCCTTCTATTATCCCAGTGTGACTCCAAACCCCCAGTCAGGAGGGAAAAGTGGGACAGAGAAACTCCTTTTTCCCTGGTTTTTATCCCAGGGATAAATGCAAGAAAAGCAGGAATTGAAGCAGGCTTGAAGATGGTTCTGGGGGGGGTGAAAGATTTCAGTGATGGGATCCCAAGGAAGTTGGATGCCAGGAAGGGATAAAGGGATCAATCCTTATCCAGATGTTCCATTGTTTCCCAAAGTAACCAGGGCCACGACTCCACAGTGCAATTAATTCATCCAGTTTTATTATTCTAATTAATCCCAGGGATGGAATTGCTTCCATCGATCCCTCATCCTAGTCCATTAGTAACCGTTCCTTATAAATAACTTAAAGGGATACAGGCAAGATTTGAAGGATAAAGTGCTGAGCAAAGCAAATCCCGTTTCCATCGTTTGTCATTCCCTCCGTTTCCAAGTGTTTCCTGAGAAGGGAGATGTGAGGAGCCTGAAAAACCACACAGGAGGTCAGGAATACTGGAGGCTGCCCAGGCCCGGGTGGGAATCACCAACTCCCACTGACAGCCCTGGAATGCTTTGGGTGAAAAGGGATCTTAGGGATCAGCCACTTCCAATCCCTTTCCACTTGCTCCAAGCCCTGTTCAACATGGCCTTGGATATTTTCAGGGATGGAGCTGCCATGATTTCCCTAGAAAATCCATTCCAGGGTCTCATCACCATCACAGGGAAGAATTTCTTCCCAAAATCCCACCTAAACCCACCCTTTGACAGCATGAAGCCATTTCCCATTATCCCAACACTCCAAGTCTTTGTCCAAGTCCTTGTCCAGTTCTTTTGGAGCCCCTCTAGGCACTGGAAGGTGCTCCAAGGTTCCCCTGGAGGTTTCTCCTCTACGGATTTCTGCTGGTCTGGCTCTGCCTCTCGCTCCGACCTCCGGAGCCGTGACTTATCCCGTGTAATTCCTTTGCACCGACGGATCCAGGAGCAAGACTCTGCAATCCCTCCTCTTCCTCAGTCCCCAAAAAAAGGAGGAATCAGCACAGGATGCTCCCCAGAAGTCCTGGATTAGTACCCAGGCCAGGTAGGACGCTGAGGGTTCGGAGGTGGGGGGTATCCAAAGGGTGGGGGAGGCCCAGGATAGGGAGCCTGCGTTGGGATCGGGAAATTCGGGAGCGGGGGCTGAGTGGGGTATGGACACTGGGGTCTCCCTGGTCCAGGTGGGATGTAGGGAGAGTATCCCGGTCTGGCAGGGGGAGGAGAGGGCTGGGGAGCAGGATAGGGCAAGGGCTGTGCTGGACCCCGGGATGGAGACCAGGAAAAGCCTCCTGAGGTGGATCTGGGATAGCCTGGCGCAGAGTCAGCAGCGGAAGCCGCTGGATATCCGGGAGCTGGAGCGAGAGGGTAGGGAAAGGAGGGCTGGGAGCTGGGCTGGGAGGAAGCCACGTGTCCCACGGTGCCCGGGGATCCCGGGAAAGGGGCGGGAGGAAGCGCTCCGTGGGCAGTGGGGCCGGGAGGAAGGGCTGGAGCCGGGCTGTAGGGCAGAGGGAAAGCCGGAGATCCCGATGGGAAGGGCTTTGGTGGATCCATGGGAACGGGAGGAGGAGGAGGACGAGGAGGCTGAGAGTCCCTGGGGCGCTCCTGGGATCCCTCCGACTTCCTCACGATCTCCTGCAGCTTCTCCACTCGGACCCGGCGCAGGTGGGACAACTTCCTCATCCCAGAAAACTGCTCCAGGAATGTCTCCAGGGGCACCTCCCCCTCCAGGAACTTCTCAGCCATTTTCTGCAAGAGAGGAACAGCCTCGGGCTCATTCCTGCATCCCTCCACTCCAGCCCTGCATCCCTCTGCTCCTCTTCCCTAAAATCCCGATTCAGGTCTCTCCCACACACAAACACGGATGGATCCAAGTTCTTTGGAGAAAACCCAGCAGACTCCAAAGATAATCCACGATTTTAGGGACTGGGTTAAACTGCAAGTCTTCTGAGGATGAATCACTGGAATTTCCAATGGATTTAAGGCCTAAACTCACCTCAGATTCCTCTTCAATCTTCTGGCTTTCCACCTGGAGGAGATCCAGCAAAGTCTGAGGCTGCAGCGCTGCTGAGAATTTCTCTGGGAAAAACAGGGGGGTAAAGAAAAACCAAGGAAAAATCACTATCACAGAACAGGAACCAGGCAAAAACCAGCCAAGAGCCCATAGGAAAGGGCTTGGGAACTGCTGATGGAAGGAGGGAAACCTGAGAGGAATAACATCCTCCATCTCTCCAGCTGCTGGAAAAAAGAGGGATATCAGTTTTCCAGGAAGCAGAATCCTTCCTGGGCCAAGATGCCAGCGCTCACCCAGCTTCTCCTTCTGCTCCCTGCACCTCCCAGCCAGCTCCTGCAGCTCCTGGTATTTCTTGGAGAGGTCGCTGCGTCCCGTCTCCAGCGGTGCCTGGAACTTCAGATTCTGCTCCGCCAAGCTCCGGTTGGCAGCCAGAGCCATCTCCCTTTCCAGCTGGAGCTTCTGGACCTGGGGAATTTGGGATGGTCAGCACAGGGAAGGGGACAAGGACACCCCGGGGCCACCTGCTGGCACAAACCTCCTGGGATTCCAAAGCCAAGCGCTCGATCTCCTGGGAATCCTCCTGCAGCTCCCGCAGCTCCTCCACTGTCCGGTTCCTCAGCGTGTCCATCCTCCCAGATTGCTGGGATGTGGGAAAAGAGGCAAATCAATTCCCAAATCCAGCTGGGAATAGGTTTCCAGCTGAAATTCAGGGTGGTTAAAGCCCCTGGAGCAGCTGCACTGGGTTCTGTTAACTGAGAGGGAGAAACACCATTCCCACTAACTCCTGCTTGGGAAAAGACTTTTCCCCCTTTCCCAAGCCTATCTGGATGGAATTCTGTGTGTCCCAGGGAGTTTCGTCAGGGAAAAATCCACCCACAGCCCCGACTTGCAAATTCCAGCTGGATGTCTCCATCCCATTCCAGAATCCACCTAATTCCAGCCTCCATTCCATCCCACCAAGGAAACTGGGATCTGACCATATCCCACCATGCCCACAGGGCTGGGCAGGACCTCAGGATCATCTCATTCCCCCCTCCTGCCACGGAATTCAGTGAAATTAACAAAAAGATCAGGGAAATTATGGACTTCCTACACCATATCCATGATTCACCCCGAGTACTCCCAGCTGTCTGACACGTTTAGCAAGCACCCTGTGTGTGGTGTAAATTCCAAGAAGTGGGATGGGATAATGTGGGAAATGTCCTAAAAACCAAGGAGACACAACACACCTGCGCTGTCCTATTCACTCCAAGCTCCGCTACCTCTCATCCCAAGGATTTACACCGGGAATGCCGCAACAGCCACGCTGAGGCTCAGGGTTGCCCAACCACGATCCAGACGAACCTGTCCGAGAGAAAAACTGGGAATTAAATCCCGCGCTGCAGGTGTGGGGCAGAAATCACCTGATTTGGGTTTTTTAGGGGGGTATCAGCGAACTTTCATGGAGTTTAAGAAAGAGAAGAGGGAACGGCGGCAGTGGGAAAGCTTGGGGTGGGGTCTGGGAAGCATCCACAGGCGCTCAGGAAACTGGACGCAAAAGGCTGCCCACTTGCGGGGCTGCAGCGAACTCCGTGGCGGGAGCAGCGCCATTATCCCCGTTATCCCGACGTTATTCCCGTTATTCCCATTCCCGGCCCTCTCCCGGACTCACCAAAGCGCCACCGCGACCCTTCGGTCGCCACAGCTTCCGGCTTCCGGAGAAAACCGGAAGTGGGCGGAGCCACGCGGAGGGGCGGGAGGGGTGCTCCCCCCCCTCGGGCGTGAGGGGGATGGTTCCTCCCAGCGCCGCCATGTTGGGGGGGGCAGGAGCACGCATCAATTTAATGGCATTTTTTAATCAATAATCGCTCTTTGGCTACCCGCGGGGCTCTCCCCGAGCTGTAGCTGCTCTAGGAATTATATCCTTCGTGTTTCCGGGCTGTAAGGGGTTCAGGGAGAGCTGGAGAGGGGTTTTGGAGGAGGGCGTGGAGCGATAGGGAAAGGGGGAAAGGCTTGGCATGGCCACAGGGCGGGTTTAGGTTGGAGATCGGGAATATTTCCTTCCCTGTGAGGGTTGCAAAGCGAGATGCCCAGAGAAGCTGCAGTTGCTTCATACCTGGAAGTGTCCGAGGCCAGGTTGGAAGTGGTTTAAGAAGCACATACAGACCTCGGCAATATCCCCAAAACATCAGAAAATGTCGGGTTCTTCCAGCCGGATCAGAGCAAATTCCTCTGGAATACCTGGTTAGCTCTTCCTCTCCTGACACAGGAATATTCCTGAGAAAGCTCCAGTCCCATCACCCAAATTTTCCAAAACATGCTTGGAAAATGCTCCACGTTTCCATCTATTACTCCACATTCCCAAAGCCCAAGCAGGGATGAGACAGGGGAAGAGCTCCATGATTTCTGCTCCTTCTGGAGACTTTGGAAGTGTGGGCAAGGTCACCCAGCTGTTCCAGAAGTGCTGGGATCTGGGAAAGGCACCTCTGACCCCATCACCTGAGAGTTGTTATGGAACAAATGGGAGTCATGTGATCCCAAATAATTCTGGAGAAATCAAGGGCAATTTGTTCCCAGCGTGGCTGATAACCGGGTCAAACCCCCAGTGCCATGGGAAAGAAAAGGGACTTGACTTGCCAAAAGGAAAAAAAAACATTTTCCAGGCTTCTTTTGGAACAGTTTCCACAGATCTGGAAAAGCTGGAAAATGTTTAATTAGCATTTTATATTAAAACATAAGGTTTGAAGAGAGGGGAAAATTGTGTTTGGATTTGCACGGAAGAAATGGAAAAATACCCATTTGAAAGTGTTATCCAGAAATAAGTCTGGGATAAACAGGTG